CGTCGCCACCTGGTCTCCGGGGAAGCTGCCCTCTCGCCGCCCGCCCCCGCTTCCTCAGCCCGGTGCCCCAGGGTCCTCCTGGGGGCTCCCCGGCCCCCCTCACCTGTGCTGTGCGCCCCGGCTCACGCCCGCCCGGCCACTTCTCAGCCACCGCAGTTGCTCTGAGCGGTGACTCACCCCTGACTGCGGCCGGGATCGGCCTGTTTCAGTTTCTGCTTCTCGGCGAATGAGCGGGGCGGGGGCGGGGGAGGCCAAGAGGGGGGGCCGGGCTGCCCCATCACGGCACAGCCAGGTGGGGAGCACGGCGTCCCGAGTCCCGCCGGCGAACCGGCCGCCCCGCCGGCAACCCGCCCTCGCCGCTGCCCTCGGCCGCCCGGATGACGCAACTGACGTGGACAGGGATTACCACATCCTCTCCGTGCCGGCCACCCCGGTCTGCAGAGTGCCCGTCCCAGGGCAGGCGCCCCGGGGGTGTCCCGCAGCTTCCGGGGCCACCACAGCGCCACACTTCCACGGGGCAGGCGGGCTTTGTGGAGGGAGCTTGCGGCGACCCCGTGGGAAGGAGGAGAGGCGGTGGGGGCCGAGCCCGGCCACCCGGAAGGGGCAGGGAGGCAGGGGAGGGCTGGGCAGTGCTGGCCTCAACAGGTGCTGCCGCCGCGCTGCGCGAGGTCGTCAGGGGCAGAGCAGACGGCGGCCGGCCCTCCGCCCCGGCGGCGCCTCGCAGACAGCCCACGCTGTGTTTACCGAATGAGTGAACTGCAGCAGAGGCACGTCGCGTGGCTGCCGAAGGGGAAATGGGCAGCCAGGACAGGAGGGGCAGCAGTGAGTGGGGGCCCAGGTCCTGCGCCCCCCACCCCGCCGCCAGGCCCGGGTGTCACAGGTTTGCCCAGGAGGGGGTGCTTTCGCCAGGGGACATCCGCCTCTGAAGGACCTCGGGACCAAAGCCAGGCGGGGCGGGCGCGGGGGGGGGCTCAGACTCCGGGCCGGAGGTTAACTCTGCCCCGTCCAGAGGGAGCCACCAGACTGGGGCTTTCTGGCTTGGAATGTCTGCAGGATTGTCCCCGGGGTGGGGGCCGCCTGCCGCTTTCCATTTCTATTGATGGGGGGGGGAGTGAGCCAGCCCAGCGGGAATGAGCCCGCGGCTGCACGCCTCTCTGCCCTGAGCTCCGCTCCAGCCCTGGCTCTGCCAGGAGGCGCGGGACCGGCCATCGCAGACGGGCCTGGGCGCATGCACGAGCGTGAGGCCGGGGTCCGGGAGGCCGCGGGGCTCAGGCTGGACGCACGGCCTGGCGGCCGAAGGCCTTAGTGCTGGGTTGTCTTTGTTCATCTCACAGAGGCAGCTGGGACGAGACGTGAAGGCAGCTTTGTCGGGGTCACCCCTCCAGCTTGCCGCTCTGACTAATGGGCGCCTTGAAGATTCGTTTCCTGCTTGGCAGTGGCAGGTGGCCCAGCTCCGGCCTTCCGGGCACCCTTCGGGTGAACCTGTTCCCGTAGGCCCAAGGGGGCTTTCGGTTTCTGAACCCCGGGAACCCGCACCCTCGGGTGACCCCCCGGCCCCCCTCGCCTCCTGGGGCCCACAGGTCCCCAGAGCTCCCGTGCCACCCCTGGGGTCCATCCTGCCTCCCCCTGGCCTCTGCCCCGCGGGCGCCCTGCTCCAAGCTGCCCTTCCAGGCTGCTGCCCACGTCTCATCCAGGCACGTCCCTGCCAGAGCCGAGTCGTGTCCGCGAGGGCGGCCCCGGCCCCTCCAGGCTCATCCACAGTTGAATTTTTTTCAAGAAGAGTGTATTCATGAATGGGTTTATTTAATTTCACATTTTTAAAACCAGACTTCATTTATTGCCTCAGCTGTCTCTTCAGGGCCAGCGTCGCACCTGACTCCCTCCTGCACAGGGCTCCCCAGGGCCCCACGCCCCTCCCTCCCCCCTTTCCGGCACCACCCTCCAGTCGAGTGTTGCGCTCTGCCTGTTTGTGTGGGGTTGCAGATTCGAGAAGCCTCGCAGCTGCCTTTCACTTTCTCTCCCCCAGTCGGCTGGAGCCAGCAGCCATGCGCACAGCCCCAGACGGGATCTCGCCCTCCACGGGCAGGGCAGCACCCCGGGCCTTGCCAGGTAAGCGCCCTCAGGCTCCCCGCTCCCGCCATCAGCATCCAGGGCCGGCACCTGCGGCCTCGCGCGGAAACCTGTAAGGACACGCACCTGGGCGCCCGGAGCGGCAGGGGACGCCTGGCCGGGGCTAGAGGGCAGCCCTGAGGGGGCCGCCGGGGAGGAGACAGCCAGGGCGACGCGGAGCGGGGCGCTGGTGGCCGGCCCCCCCACGCCTGCTCCCGGAGGCTCCAAGGCGACCTGCGGGAACTGACCGTGAGGCTGCGGCTGAGACGGCTGCGAAACCCGCCCCCGCCAGGCCGCCTTCACCCCACGTCTCAGCGCCGCTCGGGAGGTCTTGGCCCAGAAGACGCTGCGGGGGGCCGGTAAGCTCTGCCCACTGGTCTGGCCCCGCGGCCAGCTCCTGGAGGGGCCAGTGCCACGCCCACGGCCACTTCCTTTCCCGCCACACCCAGCCAACACTGCCTTTGTGGCTCCGCAGGTGGTTCCTGGGCTCCAGCCTCACCCAGCTGCTCCGGGCCGGGGTGGGCATGTGGCCCTCACCAGCTCCCCCTCCCCGGGCACCGGCGTCTGGTTCCCAGGGTGTGGGCTCACCTGGAAGCCCCCCTCAGGCCGCTGCCTGGGGTGCCCTCACCCTGCACCCCCAGGCTTCCTGGCCTCTAAGCTGCACCTCCTAGCCCTCCTGTTTCTACAGAGCCACTGCATCCAAAGTGGCGCCCAAAATACCATGTGACTAACTGCCCGCTCACTGTCCCTGCCTGCCCCCCTCTGGTCACTGTCCCGGCCCCCACCCCCGTCTCTCTAGACCCTGCCTGGGCTGTGGGAACTGTTGTCAGAGGTACTAGACTCTTCGGTGCTGGGTGACAACCCAAGGAGGCCGCACACCCCAGCCAGGGAGCAGCCCAGGGGCTGGGGGAGCCCACAGTGTGTCGCTGGGTCGGGGGATAGCAGGGAGTGGTCCGAGCGGCTCTCTTGGCTTTACGCTCCGAGACGCTGCGCCTGCACGGAGGGTGGGCTGCTCGAGCGAGACGGGGCCTGGGCCTGTCCTCTGAAGCTCTCTGAGCCCCGGCACCGGGCACGGGGCACGGGCCGGAGGAGGCTCGATATGGTGATTCAGACGCCTCGCCCTGCAGGCCACCGCTCTCCGGACTCGGGTGCAGCCAGCAACAGGCTCAGCTGTGGGCGCACCCCTAACAGGCATAAGTCACACAGCAGGTGCGACCACTTCAAACAGCAGTTCGCAGCCCTCGCAGGTGCAAATGGTGCCGACACGCCGTGCTGGAGGGCCGAGGCCTGGCAAACCTAAGACAGTGCTTAGAAGGCGGAGAAACGGGCCAACGAGCCCAGTGATCCTCCCCACATCTGGAAATGGCCCGGTGGTCCTGGGGACTCCGCAAAAGCTTCCTTTAACCCTCGAAGTTCCTTTTGATTTGTCCTTCCTGCTCTATCCGTGACCCTTTCTAAGAGCTAACATCCCCGGAACGCAAAGGTCAGGTCCCGTTCCGTGGGCCCCTGTGCACTTCATGTAAGCTAATTCAAGCTCCCCTTCGCCGCCCGGCTCATTTGTCAGCAGGGCAGACAGAAAAGGAGGAGTCCCAGGGCCATTTCCCCCAGCTCCCTCTTCCATACCCAGAAGCCTGTGAAAGGCCCTGGGGCAGCGCCCGCCAGGCCACCCCCGTCCAGAATGCCCGCGGCCAGCGGTGCCCCAGCTGTGGAGAGAGGCCGCGCGCGGGACTGGGTGGGTGGCCGGGGACAGCGGCTGTGGGCTCTGGCAGC